CCTGACTTTTTTTTATTCTTTATTTATTTTAAAAAGAGAAGTTCAATACTTGATAAACCTCCATTCCACTTCTTTATACTGGTTTTGTTTCAGTTTTGTAATTTTCTGTATAGATCCTAAAAGGCCAAACAAATGCTACAGACTTGTTGGAACAAAGTTGTCAGTTTCTGTTACTGACTTTGTATTTTGCTCCTTTGAGCAAGTATTCTCCCCCAAGCTTTTTCATCCCCTCTAATGTTAAAGGGCAAAATTCTCATGACTGATGTTTAATCTCAGCAAGACAAAAAGCTTTAGGATTAAAACGTGTAATTCCAAATTGGAGATGGCTAGCATACAAGAATATGAAGTTGAGTCTGTCTGTTTACTGGCTTACTCATCTTTTTGAATGATAATTTAGACTTCCAACTGTTTTGAGTTGAGATTCAGCCCTTTAATTACATATGTTTATGTATAGTAGCAAACTTGAAGACATTATGTTAGAGTGTTCTCTACTCTTGGTAATGACCCAACTATCACTCGAGTGTTCAGAGCCAGCTCTCAGTAGCCAGTTTCACTCATTCTTCTGTTCTTTTGTAGTTTCCAAACTATTCTCTCTGTCTTAAACTACTATGTTTTTTTCCAGTAATTAATAGAAAAATATTTTGATAATTAGCAGTAACTGTGTATTACAGCACTTATTCATCTTAATAGTTCTTTTTTTTTTCTTTTTTTTTTTTTTCCTTCCCTCTAGCTGTAGGTGAAAGACATTCACAAACAAGTTTTTATTCATGTTGCAGTCCTGACAGGAATCTTGTATACCATTTGTATACAGCAGCACATGAAGCATGTGGGTGTACTAAATATCAGCAGACTTCAGTCACTTTCATCTAGTTGAGAAAGACAGGTAGCCCTCCACTTCTTTCTGAAACTCTTTTGCTTCAGACTCTAAGGATACAAACGTATTTAATACATATTTAATTTCAGCCTTCCACAAAGAAATTTAACCTTTAGCTGCTTTTAACAGAATATTAAAAACGCTTCTTGAGTTTTGTTAGATTTCTTTTTTTTAATAGCATTCTTCAGTGGAATGGCTTTATATATATATTCTCAGTGCCATTTTCAATTGCTAAGGTATTTTTTATTACCTTTAATTGATTTAGTTAATCATCTGTGATGAAAACTCAGAGAGTAAATACCCTGGTAGTTACAGAGCTTAGTATATGCATCCATATGTTTTGTTCTTGTTAATAATGTGCATCTTCACTTTGAGGACTGCCTGAAAAAAAAAATATAGGTAGTACCAGTAATATAGCTACATATATAATATATTAGATACAAATTTACATAATTACATGCTAATATATATATTAATTACTATACTATATATACTATACTAAATGTATAGATAAAGACCATATTATAGATAGCATTTGGACACAGGCAGGCTTAATTCTGTTAGTTCCAATTTTGTGTGCTTGAGTTGGCAAACTTACATTAATGCGATTTTAATGTATGTATTTTTGTATGTATTTGCAGTCAAAAAATGGTGAAATCTAAAGTTCCATTACAGGCACTGGAAAGGATACTTTTCAACTGGTATAGCCTTTTCTGCAGGTTTGACTGTACCTAACATAGTCACCTCACTTTTCTGTCCCTGACAACTTCTCTTACCTTCTTTCTCCTAAACTAGCTACTCCAGTTTAGCTATATTCTAGCTAACCCCAATATTTTTTTTCTTGCACAGGTTACAGTCTTTTTCCTGCCCCATTTCTATTCTTCTCCCTTAGTACATTCTCTAGTCTTTTGTTCCCAACTTCTCTTCTGTAAATAAGTTACTGTAGTTTATTTTTCTGTATTGGATTTTGCCTCAGCAAGGCAGTTTCTTTTTACTATTGCCTATAGAATAGGATGAGGCATTATAAATATAGGAGAAAGACCTTTCCATTTAGCAGGTGTAGATATCTGTAACCTCAGGAGATATTTGTAACCTCTGGATTATACTTCAGTGCATGGGTTTTCAATGATTTTACGCTTTAGCAATTGTTATTATAATTTTTTACCCTCCTCCCACTCCACTCTTATACCTCCCACATGTAGTGTGTCCAGATGCCTTGCCTTTTCACTGGAATACTAAAAGGATATCAAAGGTCTTGGTTTGCCAAGTTTTAAGTCTTGTCTCCAAAAAGTAGTATTTTCCAGCAGTGTGCAGCTTTAGGCAGACACCCAGCAAAGACAATTTCAGCCTGCATGATTGAAGTGTGATAGGATTAAAGCTGAGAGGATGGTTTTGTCAGGAGTAAGATGAGATAATCTTAGAGTAGACAATGCTTCTAGTCTCTTCTGTTACGAAGGTAGCTCAACACATTCCGTAGAGCTACAGTTGAGTTAAGAAAACAAATAGCCTGTTAACCCTAGCCTCACCATCATCACGTTCATAACTTGAACTTCAGTCATATTCCTGAAGATGGGGTTTCTTTGATCTCATGAGTAATATTTGCATTCAGCTGCAAGCCTGGTTATGTATCCTAAACAGCTCTATCTCATCATGCCACAAGTTCCTGTCATCTGCTTCTATCCTCCTTGTTTCTCTTCCAGCTTCTGTGTTAAATTCCCTCTTCCTGTGTCCATCCTGCTGTAGCTCTTTCTTCTAAATTTTGAGGATGCCTCTCATCCCACCCAAGACCTACCTGAGTTTATAAAAGCAGTGTGGTTGGATTGCTGTTCCTCTTTTGAGTCTCCACAGTGTATGCAGGTTTGTTAAATGTAATGCCACCCCCCTGAGCGGTGAGAAGTCTGACTTACATAAGTATATGGTAAATGAACAGATTTCGCCTCAAAAAATACACCTTTGCAGTGCAATATTTCCTTTGTTTCTCTCTCACATGTCTGTAAAGCTTCTGAGATGTCCTGCTAAGCTGCAGAAAACCCATCATATTGACAGACATATCCACTTCCACTCTTCTTTGCTTTTTCAAATTTCAAATTTAAAAATTGCAGTATGCATGGAAGCTCTTAAATCAAGGTGTGCTTACAAAGACTACCTTAACATCAGTTCTTTCGTGCCTGTATTAAGGATGGTCCAGTACAAGTAAGTGTGATGATACTTAGTGTGGCTTTATATCATGGAGGCAGAGGTCATTTCTTACATAATGGCGTCACAAATTGTTTAGATTTTTGTATATACAAATCAATGCCTTGAACTAAGGCTTTAAGCTTATTATGAGCTAGTAATATTAAAAGCGAACTGCTTTAATGTATTTTCAGTATGCAGCTGCATATGCAGTATAGGTCAGCTACGAGTATGTGTCTTGTGTACAATTAACAACAACAAAGGCATAAGAAAGCAAAACCGAGGGAGGCAGTACCTAGGTATGTTGGGTGGCTGGAAGTTTTCTGGGTCTTACAAAGCTCCTTGGAGAATATTTAAAATGCATTCCTGTAAAATTGTGGGTGATGGTTGAGGTTTCAGGACCCTGAATTTGTGAAGAAAAAATACATCAAACATATAATTCATATCTGAGAGAATAGCATGCCTTGTGAAGTGGTACATGTCATATCACGTGCCTTTTTAAAGCACTGACATTAGCTGGAATAAATAAAATGTAATTCACTAAGAGTAAATGTAAGGTTTCATGCTAAAGTGTAGTCAGCCACATCAGTAAAAGGGTGTGGGTCAGCTGGTAGGTGATAGCTCTACCAAAAGGAAGTTACAGCCCATTGTAAATGAACAAGAAGTCTGTTGACATATTCATTATTGATTGATTTGTGAACCTGTTGAATCATTTTAGATCGCACGTTTGGTCTGGATCAGCTTTGAAGAAGTGATAGTATTCCAGAACATGAGATGCAGTGTTTGTGTCTGTTCCATGGTAGCTGCAGGAAAACAAACTGCACTTTTGACAGAGTAACCTTAATGTCACAAAAATGTTTAAATATATTTGCATGAATAAAGAGTTAAGTAGGTCAGTGTTTTGCAGATGTAATATTTAGTGCATTGTGATACACTGTAAAATCTAACACACAGTTTAATTGAACCGTTGCCTGAATCACCAGTGTTGTGGTCTTGTGAGAGAGGAGTAATAGGCAGTCTGCTGTATGTCTAGATTTGTGTGGCATGGAAGATCTTGGATCTGAAAGCACAATCTGTGAGGTTAAGTTGGTTGAATTGATTTAAGCCAGGGAAGACTGAAGAGAGATAGTGTTTGAATATCTAAAAGGGATAGCTACTGAAAAGACAAATTAGTCAATAGGGCAAGAAACAATATGCTTAAATTACAGGAACATTAAATACTAGGAAAAAAATCCAACTATAAAAATAATTAATTTATTTATAGCTGGATGGAATAGTTTGCTTACAGAGGATTTGAAATTACTACTTTTTGGGGACTGTAGAAAGAGTGTAGGGAAATACTTAGGAGAAATAGCATAGATTCAATACCTGATTCTGCTCTGGGGCACCAACAGAACTGAACAGTTTCCTGGGACAGTCCCCCTGTGTGTGTATGGTTATTCTGTATTTAATAATCAAGCTAGTTTCAACATCTGAACTTTCTCAAATAGGGTATTTTACAATAAATCTAATCCTAAAGTGACAGTAGCATGGGTAATTGTGGCATGGTTACCATTGAAGGGAAAATGTCATATTCCTCCTGCCAGGTACAGATGGAAAAATATGCCTGTGGCTACTGCTGTTACCTTGGCATACTGGAGCAATCCGGGCTCTAATACTTTTCTTACCCTTATAACACAGACCTAGTTTGCAAATGAAGATTGCACTGTTCATACGGGCAATGATACACATTTCATCAAGTCCTCTGACTGCTTTCTTCACCTTACGGTTGTTACCTTCTACCTTTTATTGAAGCCTATGGTTATATTACCATACTGTATTTCCTTATGTGTAGTGGATACATGCTGGATTGGTATACATAAGCTGTCTGTATTTCATCTAAGTAATTTCATTTGCTCTTCACCCATTAACTGGCAATGTCTAAAAGTGCCAATGTCATGTATTTCTCTAGAATGTCAGCTAATGAAAACAGAGCGACCAAAGCCAAACACATTCATTATCAGATGTCTTCAGTGGACCACTGTCATAGAGAGGACGTTCCACGTAGACACGCCAGAGGAACGGTGAGGGTTTTATTTTTTGCTTTGCTTTCCATATTCTTCACTCAAAAGCCTCAGTACAGTCTCTACTGGGATGGCACAGTGATCAGCACTTGGAACTGTGACATTCTGAGCACATCTGAACAGTTAGTTGAAGAATTTGTAAGTCAGCTTCTGTAATATATTATCTGAGCTCATAGCTAGTGTTCAGTTGCCTGTGAGTAGGTGGGATGAGTGTGTTCAAATAAGCCAAAACTATGTCATGATATGTCTCTGAAGTGTTAAATTTTGAACAGTCAAAGCCTGCATTAGAGGATTTTCCAGGCTTGCTATCTTAAATTTTCCTTTTTCTCATCCTAATATGCTCGGGGTTTTTTTGGCACAGAAAGCAGCATGCTTGATATAATTTATTTTATGTTTGCTTATTAGTTTTTCTTCTTTCATTAAACATACACAAACTCATAAGAATGAGGTTATTTAATGCACCAAAAGAATGTAGGAGATACAGGATGGTGTATCTTGCTAAAATGTTTTATATGGTGTCTCTGGTTAGATGCACTGAGTCTTCCCACTGTGGGCATCTGTCCTGTTGAGATTAATATTATTAATTGGTTTTATTCATGTTGTTCGTAACAATAAAAGACCCCGGTGACTTTGCTTTTGCTGTTGTTTCCCTGTCATTAGTATATTCACTTAGAATTTTTTTTATTCTACCTTAGACTTTTCTGCACCCTATCTTTCTTCTGTGTATGCAACGTAGCACATCTGACAGCTTTCAGCAGTAGCACCAGAGTCCTCCTCTATCCCTTGCTGGCTGAGCAGTAACAGCAGGTGCTGCACTTGGTGTAGGGCTGGTGTATCTGTGCTGGTTAGCCAGTGCACAGAATAGCCATGAACTCAGCTGCCCTGGCTAGTGCCTCCACAGAAACCCTCACCTAGGCCTGCCTCTTTGTGCAGCTGTTTTTTATAATGCTTGTAGGAATTCGGTTATCTTTGAGGACCTCTTTCTTGGGGGAATTTGAAATTAGCCAACAAGTTGAGTTTTAAGTGAAGGCAGACAAAGAGTTGAACACACAACATGGTTTAATAAACCTTTTTTTTTTTTTTTTTCTGTGAAAATGTCTCACATAGAGGGAGAATTTCATAAAAAGTCTTTTAAAACAGCAAGTTGTTATCATAGTATTGGATAGGAGGTAACATTCTATGCTCTGAGCTATGTTATACCTGGAGCAAGTGTTTTCAAGTTTTCACTGTTAATGTATTTATAAAATCAGACACTGGTAATTTTTGAAATTAACCATGCAGCAATCCTTTTTGATGCTGCTGAACTTCACCATCTTTAACATAATGCAGAATTTGGAAAGAAATTGAAGTGATGGTTTTATATTAATCTCTTGCTGTGTAACATAAGAATTGAACATTAAAGCAATGTAGCATGTGAAAAACCTTATAAATCATTTATTGGGATTTATGAGTTCTAATAGGGATTTTGGCTTGTTCATGGTAGGGAAGAATGGACAGAAGCAATCCAGGCTGTAGCAGACAGACTTCAGAGGCAAGAAGAGGAGAGGATGAACTGTAGTCCAACTTCACAGATAGACAACATAGGAGAAGAAGAGATGGATGCTTCAACAACCCATCATAAAAGAAAGGTAATGACATTAAAAAAGAACTGACAAGACTGATACATAAAATAACATCTGTAGAATGATCTAGTTGGGTAAAACAATATACAGGGACTAGTATTTCTACATACATTTCAATGTATTATAAGCAGAAAAATACATATGTGTTTATTTTATAGAATCCTAGAATCACAGAATGGTTTGATTGGATGGGACCTTAAAGATTATCTAGATCCAGTCCACCTGCCACTGGCTCAACCAGCAGGTTGCTCAAAGCCCTGTCCAACGTGGCCTTGAACACTTCCAGGGATGGGCATCACAAGTTCTCTGGGCAACCTGTTCCAGTGTCTCACCACCCTCATAGTGAAGAATTTCTTCCTAATGTATAACCTACATCTACTCTGTTTCAGCTTAAAGCCATTCCCCTTTGTCTTGTTACTGCCTACCCTTGTTAAAAAGTTCATCTTTACTCTTTTCAGTAAAGGTGAACTGCTCTAGTTTTATTTATTTGTTATGCTCTCTGATACAGCACTTCTGAAAAACAAAGTTCAGCTGTTCAGGCACATGTTAATGTTCTGCTTATTGTTTTAGTATTACTTTCATATTTTCTTTTTTGTTTACTCTTCTAGAAGTATGGTAATAAAATATTTTCTTTAGACAAGTAGATTTGCACCCTTTCTCATGCAAATGATACCCAGTACAAATTAGATAATTTACATGAAAAAGGCTAGCAGGATTTGGGGTTTAATGACCTTGTTTTTTGCTAACTGGGAAAATGACTCTGCTTTAGTTTTCAATGAAGTAAGGGAAAACAATGTTTTATTTTTTTTAAATCCTCCACAGCTTTTGGTATTAAGTAGGAATATGTGTCTTGTTAGCTATAACATACTAGTAGTTGCGTCTTCAGAGTCACCATGACAAGCATACAACTAAGAGCATGTTTTAAAGCTTCAGTGCCACAGAGAAATTTGCTTATTATTATTTTGTGTTTCCATTTTGTCCTGTGGTTCTGTAAGTACGAACTACTCTTGAAGAATGGATCATTGAAATGGATGTCTCTCATTTACTATACAGGGTTGACCTGACTCAAGAAATGCATTGAAATTGCATGAGAAAAATAATCTGTATAGGACTGGTTTTGTTCTTTTTAGGTAGAAGTGTGAAACATGGAAAAAATGAAGAGGAAGTCTGCTGACAGGGCAAAATAGTCTTATAGCTAATGTAACTGAATGCTTTTGAATGATGAACAATGAAAAGAAATAGCGGATGTGTTCCTTTACTTATAAAGCATGTTTTGTTTGTTACAATGTATGAAGCAAGAATCATAGAAATGTCAGTGGCTGAAAACTATACTCTTATGAATATAACAAATATAATAAAGGTGTTAGTTTAATGCTGTCACGTCCTAACTTCTGAGAAGTTTGCAGAGTAAACAGTTCTTTCATGTTGTTTCATTGTATGCAATTTTCTAACCTTTTTCTGCTGTAGAGAAAGGTGAAAGGTATTTATATACAGCTGTAACAATACTATCATACATTGTCAGGCTGACATTGAACTTTTAGCCTTGTGACATAGATATTTAATGTTTGTGCTGCAGGGTACAATATGATAAGTGACAGCAAGGCAGAGGCAGCGTTCAAGATGTGTCAGTCTTCTGAGAAGCAGTGTGATTATGTGGAAGGGATTTGAGTTTGCTCTATTAAATATCAGAGCATGGTTCCAAGCCTGTGTATCCTCTTAGTGGAGTACAAAACCACTGCATAACAGCAAGCATTTTCAAGGTGTCAAAATGAATGCTTTCTAATATAAGAAGTTTATTTTGTGTGTATGTCTTCCTTGTTCACAGTGCAGTGCATTTTCCCTTAAAACAAAAGGGGCTGTGGAAGTGAAACAGGAAAAGGAGGAGGAAGATCAGTTTTGTTTTTGCCTTGGCACTGATGCTTTAAGAAATGTTGAAATAAGTGATTGGGACAGTGTGTGTGCAGTACTGCAGAGTATTTAACAGCTTTGGCAACAAGCCAAGAGCAAACTCTGTGAGAGAAAGGTGAAATGAAAAATGGTGATATTCAACACCTTGTAATAGAGCAGAATGGAGTTTCTTTAGCTGGTGAAGAGCATGCTAGTGTCCACAAGGATTTTCTTTCTTCCAGAACGCCCAAATCCCACTGCAGATTTCTGACGATTGGAAGACTTTAGTGAAAGGTTCTCAAAAGTTCTTGGAATCACAAATAACGTAATGATGCAGAGTTGTCACTCCTTCTGTGTTAATTGAAATTGGGAAAAAATGTATTTTTTTAGAACTGTTTCTGTTTTGTCAAAATGTTTCTGAAAAGCTTCTGTTTAACCTTTGTAGCTGTTAATGTAATCGGAACCATTTCTGTTATAATGACTTAATGCATTTTACTGCTTTTTTTTGGGGGGGTGGGTATTGGATTTCTTTTCATTTCAGGGATTTTTTGTGCAATGTGTCCTACAAGCTGGTTTTGTCACCTGATTTTTACATCTGAGCCCAGTGAATTTTGCTTGTGCGTGCACCAGATGGTATACATATGAGTAGAAGAGCATAATCAGATTAAGAAATAAGAAACAAGACAGAGAGGAGTGGGCCTGTTCTTCTTTAAAAAGGTAGCAAAAGGTTTACAAAGAACACGGTCTTTAGGATGTGGAACTTGATTTGAACTGACCTGACAGCAATGTCCCTGACCAGATTAGCTGAAGAGCCAAAAGCCTTTTTTTTTTTCCTTTTCTTTTCTTTTTTCTCCCCCCTCATTTTTTCAATGGTGTCGGTGTACCACTTAAGTTTTACAGTAGTAGCATCTCTAAAATTCAGAGCACTAGAAATTCTTAGCAAACTGGTTTCGTTTCTTGCTGTACTATTCCTTGTAAGTAGAGTTTCTTCGTTTCTTCCTCATGAAATCAGATGAAAACTCCAAGTGGTATCATCTTTATGCAAATCAGGAATTTTTTTAAAAATAGTTCCTTGGTAGGAATTTTCAACACCAGTAGTAGGGTGTATTCTTTTGAACAGGTCATCCATAGGGAAGTAAATAGGCTTTAGAGAAGGCTGAACACCATGCAGTTCTTTGGTTAGTGCAGGTTCCTGTAGCTTTATTGTTTTCCCTTTGTTCTCAAATTCGTTTTGCAGGGTGCAGGATAAGTAAATAATAGATTTTTCAGAGGAAACAAAAAAGTGACGTAATGAGGAAAAAGATTAAATTCTTAGAGTTTGGTAAGGGTGAAAAAGGTGGGAAAATCATCAAGGAGAAAGAATCTAGTCTTATGGGAGCCTCCAAAGTTGTTTACCAACATCCCTCAGGTTTAGGAAGTATTTCCATTTTTCCACCAGTTTTCAATACACCCTTCGCTATGGCATCTGTGTTTTTATCTCCCAAGGTCTTGTGTTCTTTGGCAGACTTTTTGAGTTACCCTGCACTGTGTATCATCTCTAAGCATTCTGCTGAGCTTCCTAAGAATGAGAACATCAGGAGACTTTATTCTTAGAAGTAGGACTACCGCCATAGCCTGCTGTTAAGCCACGGATCAAAATCTTGCAAACCTATTACCTTCCTCTTATAAATACACATATATTTTTAACTTGTTTTTACAGAGCTTACAGCTAGATTTATGACTGCTTTGATTAACATTATGTAAGCAAATTTTAGGCAAATGAGTCTTTCAATTTGACTGGCTTGCTGCCCTTAGCATCAAACCCATGTCTGTGATCAGCTGAGCCAAGATCCTCCTTCTGTGTGTGGGCAGAGGGCTGCTTTTGAGATGGTTTTATTCAGATTCTGGTCCATCTCTAAGTTCAGCCTCTCAAAGATCAGAAGTGTGGGAAGAAGGCCTTTGAGACTGCTTGTGATACAATGAATATTTGCCTATTATAAGTTGTTACAGTCAGTAACTCAGTATTCTTTATCAATAAAACTGTTGGTCATTCTTCATCAAGGAATGTGTTAAGTTATGACTGAAGATACGGGGGATTCTGCTCTGAGTTACTCATCCAATGCCTAAATTACTTTTTGAATGCATTGTGGATTTTTCATGTGGTTTTGTCAGTTTTCACTCCTTCAGCGCAAAGGCAGTTGTGTTTGCTTTATGGTTGTTATAGAACTATTGAAGTAGATAACCTAACTTTCCAAAGTACTGACTGTGATATTTGTGAAGTCTTAGCTTTAGCTGATTGAGTACTAGCAGTCACAGAGTGTTTGGATCACAACTTTGTATACTGCACCATGCATCACTGGTTTTAACACATTATGCTAGTTTTTGGAAAAGGTGACCGTTGAAGGATTTGTGGTCATAATTTTTTTATTTTACACTGACAAACTGTAAAGTGAGTTTGTTTTAAGTAGAAAGTATACTAAGCCTTTGAGATATCTGTTACTCCTATTTCTTACTGGGATAAACATGGTTTTGTTCTTCTTGATTAAGGTGGTTTTGGCAGCAAAGTGGGGTCTGTCACTGCAGAATGTTTAAGTGTGAGCAAAGAATGGAGTTCACCAAGATTGCTTAGGAGCTACCCATCAACCATTGCGTTGGAAAAAGGTTTAATTCCTGCTGATGTAGCTAGAAAATTGATATATGGAAAGCATCTTCTCTTAAATAAAGCTTTGAAATATCCAGATGTTACCTTAAGTAGTCTGTTGAAGATTTTTTGCAGCTTTTAAGTTGTAGGTTGAATGTGTAAAAGCTAAGGTATTACAGCATTCATGTGTTTGGTGAAACTTCAGTTGTACCCCTTATGTGAGCAGATTTCAAACTGACTGTGAGTGAGCCATTGCATGCATTATTTTCACAGCATTGCATTTGCCGATAGCAACTTCAGATCCACAATAATAGTATTATGGACTCAATTTTAAAGGAATAAATTTCAGAAGGAAATTTTTGCCTTAATTTTTTCACACAAGAGAATATATTTTCTTACCATTGCTTGTGATTGCACAGTGGGGATATGCCCAATAGCTCTACAGTTAGAATGTGTGTGAGACATGTAGGCACTGTAAAAGTGTTCCTGCTAGAAATAAGGAAATTATTAATTGCATTGTGGAAGGCACAAGTAGAAGTTTATCTGGAATGCCAGTATTCAAGAGAACTGACTGAGGCAGCAACTAGTGGTAGAGAGGGACTCTAGGAAGGTGAAAGATAAGGCACGATCTTTTCCTCACACATAAAAGGATTAACTATATGTAATTTAGCAAAACTGAGACTTGGAGCATAATTACTCTTCATAAATGTTTCATGGTGTATTATTCACAAAAGAAGGAAGATTATTGACACTGCAGGACAGTACTATAACAAGAATAAGTGAGCGTGTTGTCTTTCAGAGCTTTTAACTGATTTCCTCAAGGTTCCTGGGTGCCTGTGTGATGTGGTGCTGCAGTGAAGCCAGTAACACAGCGCGCTGAAAGATGGGCTTTGGAAGCACATGGTGGAAACCAGTATTTGGCCCTGAGTTAGCCAAAATAACCCAGTTGTCATTCCAAGGTGACCCTCTCCAGTCACTGCATCTCAGTATTGTGCTGGTTTTTTCCAATATCCTCATCTTTGCATCTAATGCATAGACTGTATGATTGGTGCTTCTGAACTGGCCGTGAAATGAACTTGCAGAATTAAGATGATTATTGACTCAGGCTTTGTGCTTATGAAAGTGACTAAACTGCTTGGGGATCTGAGATCATCTGGTCATACGCTTTCAGTGTGTGCCACTCCAGTTGAGCTGATAAGCCTACTAGGCTCAAATTGTATAGTGGAACCAGCTCTTGGATGTGCTGTGTTTAGCCTGCAAAACTAGGGCAGTACTAGATGCTTGAATGGTCACTATAATGAAGTCATATGAGAGGGAATAATTTGATACCTTTTCCTTTCAGAGCCAGGTTGATTAATGTAAAAACCGTATAATCATAATCTGTACTCAAATTTTTAAAAGTCCACTTCTAATACAATGACTTCAGTAGTCTTACTGGTATAATACTGCAGTAAGGCTCATGTATGTTTTAGAAAAACAGTCAGTACAGTGATTGGTGTTATGCAAAACTTGCTGATACATTCTTATGTCCCTGGTAGTGCAAGTGTTGATAGGCTTTCTTAGATGTAGAGCGTTCATGAAATGCCTTGTTCTATGTGTGCTTTGTAAAAATAAGATCTGCTTGAGGGTAGGAAGTTTCTACAGAGGGATCTGGACAGGCTGGAAGTTTCTACAGAGGGATCTGGACAGGCTGGATCTATGGGCTGAGGCTAATTGTGTGAAGTTCAACAAGTCAAAAGTGGCGATCCTGCATTTGGGTCACAACAATTCCAAAGGACCTGGGACTGTTGATCAACAGCCAGCTGAACATGAGCCAGCTTGTGCCCAGGCAGCCAAGGCCAGTGAGTTGCTGGAGCATGTCTAAAGAAGGGCAACAAAGCTGATGAAGGTTCTAGAGCACAAGTCTTATGAGAAATGGCTGAGGTTTAGTCTGGAGAAGGCTCGGGGGGGACCTTAACACTCTCTACAACTACCTGAAAGGAGATTGTAGTGAGGTGGGTTTTGGTCACTTCTTCCAGATAACAAACAATCAAGCACAAGAGAAAAAGGACTCAAGTTGCACTGGGGAAGGTTTAGATTGGATATTAGGAAGAAATCCTTCCCTGAAAGGGTTGTCAAGGGAAGTGGTTTGAGTCACCATCTCTGGAGGTATTTGAAAAAAAAGACCCAGACATGTAGATGTGACACTTAGGGACATAGTTTAGTGGTGAACTTGACAGTGCTAGGTTACTGGTTGGACTTGATCATCTCAAAGGTCTTTTCCAATATAAAGTATTCTATGATTTTATGATTATGAACTTGATCGTAGAAATGTACCTGTTTTTGTGAAGTGTTACTATTTTGGTAGCAGCATTTGATTACGTGTGAACACACTCGTACACGTTGGAAATGGGTAACATAAGTCTTGCTAATCCTTGTTCTTTGCCTCTTACAGACAATGAATGATTTTGACTATTTAAAACTACTGGGCAAAGGCACGTTTGGCAAAGTTATCCTTGTCCGAGAGAAAGCTAGTGGGAAATACTATGCTATGAAGATTTTGAAAAAAGAAGTCATTATTGCAAAGGTAAGGAAGATCATAGTTTTAATGTTGTGTAATATTTTCAAATACTATGATCAATATCTAATATGTAAGTTGCATTTTATTTTTGATGGTAACTGAAATTGATAGAAATATTTATGTATCTTCAGAAAACAAGAATACAAAAACTAGAATGTGTACCCATTTTGCATGCTTTTTTCCAGCATCTTGCAATGTAGAATATGCCAACATTTTGAGAGAGTTCACTGGGTAGAAAGAAAGTGCAATTCAAGTTTAAAACCAGAAAAAAATGCATTGTAGGGTATATTACATACTTAAGAATTAAGAAAAAAGTTCTAAGTGAACTGCGTTGGGTTTTTTTTTTTTAATAAATAAAACTAATTTAATGGACCTGTGCTCTGTTCTGCTAAGTTAGATAAGTTTGCTGTGCATGGGACTAAAATTCTATTATTTTCAGTTTTTGAGGAGCAAGAGAAGTCTGAAACTGATGTCTGTTGAAGTAATTTAAACTGCATTGTCCAGTCAATTAAGCTTGATCAGTGCAGTGTTACTAGCTCTTTTGCTTGGTTGTAATGTTAAGAAGTTTAAACTTGAAGATCATCTAGTCTAAGCTTTGTTTGTAGCAATTATAGTTTTGAATCCCACTTCCATAGAACAAGTTGAGAGCAAGAAACCTACATGCTCTTATCACCAGGAGACGCAAGTAAAACCAATCCCAGGGTCATTTTTCTCCCTCTTTGTTGACCAGTGAGAAGATTAAGTGTGTAAGGAAAGACACCTTTCATCCTGTGATGAAAATAGGAGCACCTCAGTCTTCTAAATTTGACTTCCTCAAAACTGGAATTTTGTTTTGGAGGGAGTCCCTCTAAGTTTATCATAGTAGGGCTGTATATTGATAAGAAACTGATGAAAAAATAAAAAATAGACTATGCTTAGATCTTCACAAGTGAAGGGATCGTGTATTTTTACCTACAGTCACCAAATACCAGTTTTTCCCACTTCTTCCCAAACTGAAAACATAAGCAGACTTGGGCATGAATTTAGCTGCCTGATCTAGTGGGTGTGTAAGTATGCCATGGGGATTTATCAATAGCGTTTAACCCTGGAGATCAGTGCTAAGGGTATGGTCAGTAGGTAGAGATCTGCAGTCCCCACCCAACCTATAATGTGCACTACAGAAGGTCATACCCTAACAGTTAACATAAAGCAGAAAAGTGATGCATTGACAGCTCTGTCTAGAAGGTTATATAGCATCTGCTCAGTTCAGACTAAATCTGTTGATCCTAAATTTTCATGACAGATTAATATTATAGTTACCAGGAAATTGCTACCAGTATCACAGACTTCTGAAGCAATTCCAGAAAAACTGGCCATTGCCAGCTTTTTATGCCCCGTTTCTGGTGAACCACTGAGGTTGAAAAATAAATAAATAAAGCTAACTTTAGGTTTGCTTATCTCCTTGAAGAGTTTTTTGGTTTAACCCCAGTATGAGGTTATAGTGTATAGGCTCAGTGTTGCACTGCTATTCAGCTAAATGGCATCATAATTTCTTACCAGTAACTCTGTTGTTGTTGAACTTCCTATTTTGACAATTTTTAAGTCTAATTTAAAGCTCCTGACATCTGTGTTTACTTTCTAGTTTAGTAATACCTTATCTGCAGAGCACTGTCTGCTAAGCATGTAGTACAATGATGTTATATTGGTATTAGTTGTAGCGATAATAAAGTATACTCTGACTAAATATATTTACTTCTGCAGGGCTATTGTTGAAATTTGAGTCACACTAAGTTAGTCTTCAATTCTGCATAATATAATAGTGGTAGCTTAACACTGCAGAAAATGTAGTGCAGGGTGAGCCCTCTTCCTGCCATCCCTCTCCCCCTTGCCCCTTCATCGCCCGTTCGTTGCAAACCTAGTGGCATGAAGGGGCCTTAGCCCTGCCACTGGGGGCTCCCTGTCACCCCTCCAGGCTGTTGCTCGCCTCCCATGTGTCCCTCTTCTGGTATCCCGCCTGGCAGGGGGGTTACTGAGAGGGCCTCTTTCTCGAAATCTTTCTGGAAAGGGGGTGAGGTTGTAGGAACATCTTCCCACCTCCCATGGGCAAGGTGTTTGCCCTTGAGGAAGGGCGTTGCTCCCAGTCAGGATAGCACTGCTCACTTGGCTCTTAAGGACAGCCAAAGTGGATGAGGGATGGAGGGAAGGAGTGAGTTTTGGATGGCTACATATAAAAGAAAAGTTAAAAATAAAAGAAAGTTAAAGAAAAATAAAAAAATACCTGAACAAGTGAATGTTTAAAGCCAGCAAAACTTTATTTACTTAACATTAGACTAGATTAGACTAGGTTTTATAGATGCCTCTGAGTTATTATGTGTACATTTCTTGTAAATTGCTTCAGTCTCTCTGTAGATATGTTGTTCAGATGATTCATACCAGAAATGTGAAGTTGTGATATCTGTATTTTCAAACTATCAAATCCAATATTATAAGCTATTACTTCCCCACACTGGATATAAAATTAAAGATTTCATTTAAAGCAAGAAAATAAAAAACTAAAGTGAAACTCATTAATTGTATTTTGCCAAACTTAAATTTACTTTAAAATCTTTTCTCAGAAAACATGAATTATTTTTCATGTCTCTCTCAGGTTCGATCATTTTCCAAAACTGTACTGCAGCTTATTCTTTTTGAAAGTGTTGACCTTTTCCTCCTAATTAATTCAATGACAATTTTATATGTTAATTCAGACTTACTTCTTCTACTCTTTATTTCTCAGGATGAAGTAGCTCATACGCTTACAGAAAGCAGAGTGTTGAAAAATACGAGACACCCTTTTTTAACAGTAAGTATCAAGAATTAGTTTTAAGTGCATTAGCAGGTGGTTTTCAACGTGATGGGAGTTTCATTATGAACAGTATTTACAAATTTTGAAGTCTTTCTTGTGTTTATTTGTAAACAAGTAGTGGCTATCTAGTGCTTCTCATATCCTTTATCAGAATATGTATTTAAGAGTTCAGAAAGTCTGTTTCTAACGGTTTTGTGAAGCTCAACTGCACTTCAGTTTAACTGTAGAATGTAACTGTTGCTCATATACAGAAATCACAAGTTGAACATTTTCTTAATAAAAGTTATTGCTATCACATAATATCAAGTAATTTTTATCAAGAAAACTCAATTGAGTTCAATAAAACGATAAAAAATACTATTTGTTCAACATAAGTAGCCCGTGGAGCAACAAAGCTGAAACCCCACTACCTCAGTGTCATTGTCTTAATATGGTTTAGATTTAATAGAAGGTATTGAAGCTATTGAAAATAAGATGAAAATTTTGAGATTCATGACAAGTCATGATTAATAGCTTTAATTTTACAGCTGACTTATGTAGAAGTAATTCTGATTCCTCTGGTTTGAGAATGTATTAGAAAGGCTTTTCATTGATTCCAAAAGATGATTAACATGTATTTTAAGGTAGGGAAAAATTATTTTCTTTTTTGTATTAAAATACCAGAGTATAGCATGGAAGCTTTCCTATTTAGAAAATCATGAACCAAACCCTTTAGAAAGCAGAGGATTGCATTCACATTGCTTGGCCAAAATATTCTTGGAAATTCAGTGAAAAGAAATGAGATCCCCTAAAGTTATTTAATTTAGAGTGTGAAGGTAAGCAGGAGTAGGCGTTAATTGCAGCCAAATTTTGCAAATTACTGCAGTTGTATCTTTAAATGTCTCTGATATTCTTAAGCAAATATTTTAAGGACACATGCAGTATTTTAACTCAAATGAGTTGCCTGATGATTTTGTTATGTGTAGTTCTACTGTGTTTTGTTTCTTTAGAACTGTATCTGTAGATTTGCTTTGGTATAATTTTTCCAAGCAAAATCAAATCAGCATGAAAAGTCAAAAATTCTAATTAAGGTACTAACATTGGTTACAGTTTTTAAATGATATGTAAATAAATATATTCATTTGTCAGTGTTTTTAACATTGTATGGTATGTGAAACTAGAGACTCCTTTTGGATATGAAAGCAGGCTGGAGGTTTAGATCACTTGTAAGTTTTTATATGAGAGAAATGAGAAAGAATATTGTAATATCTCTCTTCATGGGCATCATGGAAGTGGACATCATAAAATGAGTGAGAATAGCTGGTTCCATATATGGCAGTAAGAAACCTGTATAGAATTGTGCAATTTTATCAACTATGTAGAATTCTATTATAACAAGCATAATGTTTTCATATCAGTGGGTATGTGGCAGAGATGAAGGAAGACATGAAGGTTTTTGTTAATTCATCACAAGCTCCAGATAGGAATTCACACTTTTAATTACTCCGAAAATGCTCACCAAATCAGAATTGTTTGCTTAAGAGGATTAAATTAAATTTTGTTCCAGTTTAAGTGCAAGAAATTGGGTTAATACAAGATGATAATTGTTTGGTTTTGCTGTTTTCTTTGCAAGTCCTTGAAATATTCCTTCCAGACAAAGGATCGTTTGTGTTTTGTGATGGAGTATGTTAATGGAGGAGAGGTAAGTAGAAAAAAGATGTTCTGCACTTTTAATAGTAATACTGTCACTGGGTTACACTTTAAAAGATAATATTTTCTTGCCTTTTTTGCTTTCTAGTATCTTTGAAAGTTGTCTTTTTTCTTTGTATTTTTTTTAAAACTGTTATTTAAAAAAATGTGGATGTGTTTTACAACTGTGCTGTCAAAAAAAAAGTTTTTTTTTGGTCAAAAGCAGTTCTTCTGGAAAAATTAGATTTTTGAAAGACACAAATATCTTACTGTTTTTTCTTCAAGCATATTGTAGCATGTTCTGGCATGAAATGGTCATAATGTAGTGCAAACAAGCAAAAATATTGTTGACTAGTCTTATTTTTGTCCTAATGTGAAATATGTGCTTTCTTCTTTGTTGTAGCCATTTCAAATATGTATGAGAAAAGTGTTCATATTTTTCGTTACTTCTTCCTCTTCACTTGCTGTGTACTTTGGAAATTTGAAGTTAAGTGTTAAACTTATTAGTGTAGTTAGCCTTTAAGTCATTGCTGTCCTCCAGCTATTTCCTGAAGAATGTAATATCAAAAACTATATCTGTCAAGTGGATTTAAAGAGAATTGCAATCTAAGAAGAGGGCTTTCATCTCCCAAAGAAAATAGAATAGAATAGAATAGTTAGGGTTGGAAAGGACCGTAAGATCATCAAGTTCCAACCCCCCTGCCATGGGCAGGGACACCTCGCTCTAAACCAGATCACCCAAGGCCTTGTCCAGCCTGGCCTTGAACACTGCCAGGGATGGAGCATTCACAACCTCCCTGGGCAACCCATTCCGGTGCCTCACCACCCTAACAGGAAAGAATTTCCTCCTTATGTCCAATCTAAACTTCCCCTGTTTAAGTTTTAACCCATTACTCCTTGTCCTACCACTACAGTCCCTAATGAAGAGTCCATCCCCAGCATCCCTATAGGCCCCCTTCAGATACTGGAAGGCTGCTATGAGGTTTCCATGCAGCCTTCTCTTCTCCAGGCTGAACAGTCCCAGCTTTCTCAGCCGATCTTCATATGGGGAGGTGCTCCAGTCTCCCTTTTAAGTGCTGTTTGCTATTCAGAATGTGTCAGATTACAACATTAACTAGGGGGTTTTTCGTATTTTGTCTACTATGTGCTGCATGATAACACTAAAGTACTAAGTGTTTCCACTAGCTTTTTTTATTAGAAAACTTCCTTCATTCAGGAATTGCTGCAGCATGGTACCATGTTTTTCATTATCCTTCTGCTGTGTTCTCCTACAATGAAACTGTCTTCAGCTATAACCCTAATGCCTGAGCACCCCCAGAGTGCCTGACTTGCGTTTGTTGCTTTGGTGTTTTCAGTGCTCAGTCTGAGGCCCATTTACATCCTAACTTGTTCATGGCCTTCTCCCAGCCATGACTAAAGGTGGTGCTATAGGGTTCTTGAATGGGAGGATGACTTTTTGACTCAGAATGTGTAAACCCATTTCTGGACATCACAGGCTTTTAACCATTTTGGCTAGTTGGACTAGACACAAAAATCTTTCTCAGCAGTAATGGTATAACTGCCTTCTCTTGGACACTCAGCTGGCTTATTTAACATCGAACTTGTGTCAGCAATATTAAGTCAGTGCTATTTACAATGAGTTTTAAAAGTGGCACCTTAATGAATTAGCTAGTTCTTCTTAAGTTTTGTCTGTGTAAGATCTTACTGTATTTCTGTAATCTCAGGGGATGTACTTTGAGAGTATTTTGAATATCAGCCTATCGTTCAGACACTTACCTTTTTGCAAGGTATTTTTCTGCCATATCTGAATGCAGAGCAGAGCCCAGAGAGGATGTTTTCAGCTCCTTTCTTATGATTGAATACTCTGACACTATGTTTTGATCAGGTGTGTATCTTGCATTCCTCTGCATTGGGTAGGGCACCTTTGTGTTAACTGCTGCAGACATCTTGTGTCATGGGTCTCTTGGTTTGCAATGTACTTTGCCAGCGGTGTGTCACTTCTTTCAGGTGTGATGCTCTTGTTTGTTAGAGTTGCTCACCTTCTTTGCTACTGGTTCCCTAATTCAGTGAATCTAACCATAAATTTTTGCCACAGTGGAAAATAATGACCATTCCCTAACTAAGTAGGCAATTTTCTTTGAAGAAACTCTTCTGATTCACTTATGTGCTTCTTTTTGGCTAAAGATTTGGAATAGTAAGTTGGACAGACTGTTCTTCTTAATAGGAAAATCTTTAATCTTACCATTTTTTTTTCTGTGAATTGCAGACTTTAGTCACTCACTGCTAAAAAGTACGAAGGACTTCATATTTGTAAAAACAGCCTGGTTATTTACTTGGAACTACTGAATAAAAGTTACATAAACGCTAGCCAGCATTTTAGCCATTTCTGAGCATATCTTCTATATGGTACACAGATTTTTTCTTTTGCTGCTTCCCTCTACCATTCCCTCTGTTCCAAGAAAGTTTCATTTCCTTGCAATGGTTTCTCACTGTTGAAGATTTTGAAAGTTCATCTTTTAATTATACCCTTCTAGCGGAAAATTGACTGTAGTAGTACCATGTTTCTCTCTCCAGAGCTGTACTACCTTCAGTGGGTTTCTGTTTAAAAATCCTTTAGAATTTGTTTTTTAAACAGTTGTGCCTGAGTCAGTTCCCTTGGGAATTTTCATGTATCATGTCTTTCAGGAGCCCATTGAAAAGTCCTCCAAATGGAAGACTTGTTGAGCTTTACATTTGCATTCTTGACTCTCACCCAGGTGAAAGCAAGAAAATGACACAATTTAGGCTTCTGCCCTAGTATACTAATAAAAAGTGTGGTTGGTACTAGGAGTCTTCAGTTCCTGTGATTAGGAAGGAAACAATTGATGAAAGGGTGTCACTGAATTTCATTATGGAGGAGAAGAGATTGTGTTAAAATGGTTATAAACAAGAATCATACAGTTAATTTTATGCTCTTTAAGGGCCCAATCATGAAATCTTTGTTTTGGACTGAAAACTTTTACTTCTTCTGGTGTTGCTGTTGGACTCCTGATGAAATGCTTAGCAGTGTCTGTTGATCGTAAACTATGTTACAGTATGGAGCTGAAGGATACTTCTAACATTGTGGTTACTTATCAGTGGCATTGTTATAGTGAAGGAATTACATTAAAGTAATGTTAAGACATTGAAATTTGATTTTAGGAAAATAATTCTCATCTGGCTTAGTTGAGGTGACCATGTTCTATTATAAAGACTTTGAAATGGCATATTTTATGAGTGCGTGGTGGAAAAATGCATACAGTATTGCATGGTAAACTGTGTTCTTCACTTTGGTTCAAAATATAGAATATTCATGTACATATTTTTAAAAAGTAAAACTTATTAATACTTACAGATGAACACAGGCCTGCTTTAAAGAAAAGAAGCCCCATTAGGTTTTATACGTTTTTTGCTGTCTCTGTCCTATCAACATTTATTGGGGAAAAAAGAAAGTGTAAGGATGTATTGATGATGGCTTTCCTGATTTGCTTCCTCTTCCTTTTGTAACCCCTATAATTTTCAGTACTATGTGACTGCAGTATGTTAGTAGTATATGATAGTGTTCCCCCAACTTCTAGGCCACAGAATAGTATAAACTGTGCTATAAAAAATTATATTCTAAGAATGGATCTTCATTGTTGGAATACTTTTGGACTGTCTTTTTCCCACTTTTTATTTCCAGTATTTTGCTTTAGAGATTGAAAAGCTTTAGGAATGTAACCTGTTACTTACATTTCTCTGCAGAGTACACTGATTCAGCTGACTAATAAGTTGATTAACTTCCGTGCTTTGCTCTTTCAGGATAATTCCAAATTCCATACTTTGTAAGAAACTGAGTTGGTAATTATCTGTATAATAAATGAGTCTCTAAAATTTGTTCAGATAGTTTTTGCACACTGGAATTCTGAATCTCTGTTCCACTTGGCATTTTTTATTTTCCGTGGTTCTTACTTCAGTTCATTAGGCAAGAGAGAACTAAATGGTTTGTTGTAATTGAACAAGTGCTATTGCTGTCTAGAAAAAAGAGAATTTGCAACCTACCTAATGAAAAATAACTGAGTTTTGTTGTAAGCTTTATCATTTTTATCTTACTTGTATCCTGTTTTGTTTTCCTAAACACTTAAGTAAATGGCTGTTTCTTAGCATAAAGTTATGCTAGTCTATTTATTTCTTTCAAGGCTGCTACGGAAAATGCTTTGCTAAAGAGTCAAAGCAGCAGACAAATATAAAATGTGTTTAACTGCAGAGCTGAGCAAACCCAATATACAACAGCAGGAGCTAGTCATACAACTTCTAACATGCTAAATAGGTCACTAGCGTTGTAGAAGTTTAAGGTATCAATTGATACAACGTATTTATCTATTTGACGTGCTTGGTTCTGCACTTGGCTATACCTTTATGTTCGATCTTTGGTTTTATGTGTTCAAATCTTTCCATTAAGACTTTTTATTAGGAAAAAAACCCATGGCAACATTGTTGTTCAGTTTTTAAATAAAGGCATACCAGGAAATTTATAGCTCCAGTCCTCACTGTAACTATAGCACCCTCATGTATGCCATCAAAATGTTACGTGCAAAATGGCTTTCTTTGTGCCAAAGCTATTTCTATTGCAATTCCAGTGACTTTATAGCATATATTTAATAACTGTAAATCAATAAATAGTGCAAATGTTGGTAGCTTTTTTCATATCCTTTCATCAGATTTATTTTTTCCTTCTCTGACCTGATAAATCTAATCCTTATTCTGACAATCGTAAATAAATCCTGGTGGCATAGTTATTCCAAAATAGTGAACCAAATAAATAACTAGCTGAAAATAACGCTGTGATCTCACTGAATTAGATTTTTTATTATAATTTTAAAATTTGCCTTAATATCTTTAGCATATAGTGTATGAATGTATGAATTCACTTTTAATGTGCATTTTTACATCTAAATATTTTTTTTGTTTGAAACTGGTATATATGTATAGTACTGTTACTATAATAATAAGAAAAATACTTCTGAAGAGTGACTGTTATGTCATATGTAATGTTAAAATAACCTGTCTTGGGAACTCATGGTCTCTTGCAAACAGAGAACTTTGCTAGCTGTTTCTAGCTGGTCATTTTACTTTGAAGTTACAAATGTCAAGAATATTTTGTTAGAAATAAACACTAAAGAAAATAAAATTTTGTTATGCTGGCTTTTCAGCTTGTCAACTCTCAGATTCAAATTGGAACTCTTTTTTTTTTTAATGGAAACTAATACATCTGTTACTGGCAAGTATCCTGAGGTTTTAGAAATTTCTGAGACTTTGCTGCTCAGCTACTGGATTTGTCTCTTTCATACAGAAAATTGCAATAGTCCTTTTGCATAGATATAAATATAGGGCTAACTGGAGGTTATATTATAAATTTTTGGAAAGTGTTTGCTATTTCTAGACATTAAAAAGTGATCTGAAAGTTGGATTTTTTATACTACTTTGAGTCCGTCAAAATAAGCAAAACTCTTAAAGATTACTAATATTAGCTCATTTTTTATGAAAGAGATCACTGAATGGTCATAAATGACACAAATTTTGTAATGTGCTTTACTTGGATGAAGACCTACTTAGTGGTGTTTGTTTTCTACTGAAATCTTGCAGAAATGTATGGAAAAGACCCACAAAATTGAGAAAATTATTTATTATTTTCTCAAATTTATATGTGAGGCACTTCATGAAGGCAGACTTAGTCTGTAGTGGTCTTGTGTTTGCACCGTCAATTAGGAAGTCCTCAGTACAGACAGCAGGTTACTATAGGGAGGGTTGATGTTGCCACCAGGGATGGGTGCTTAAACAGGGAAATGAGCAGCAGGAGCTATTGAAATACCTACAGAGTAATGATCCTCCTTGTCATGCAGGTATTCCATTTTTGTACAGGGCATCTTGAGAATTCAAAAAGAAATTGAAAGGGGAATTCAGGTACAAAGAACAGAAATGAAATATTCTCTTTGAACCATACTGTAGTTTCTGTTAAGTCTTTGCTTATACAAGTATATACTGCCAAAAGGTTCACTTTAGTGGGAACTTTAAGTCCAGAAGAAAGGAATACACATTTTTTGAAATAAAAATCTCAGGAAAAAAGTTGACTTCTGTTTGCTCATAGGATTGACTTTTTAATTAGACTTTGAGAAATCCACATTCTGAAAAGAGCTGCAGAATTTCTTACACTGTTCTGTGCCGTGTCAGCCGTGTAGGTTTACTACTGGTGTAAAGTAGGATGTGATTATGACAAATTAAGCACATTATTGTTATTTTTATTGATATGGATTTCCTTGTCTCTCTTTAATTTATAGATGATCACATTTGTGTATTTCTTTTTTATTGATTGTTAGCTGTTGTGGTAAAATCAAAACCATTGTAACTTGAAGGGGTAAGGCAGGTAATCCATTTGGTCTTAAGCAGAATACAGAGACGTATCCACTCTTCTTTGCTTGAGGACTTTCCCAGGTTTTCTTGACATAGTAAATAAAACCAGGCATTTTAGAGAGCATTTAAATAGAAAAAATCTGCTTTTTTAGGTGTTGTTCCAGGTTCTGAGGGTGCCGTTTTATCCAATAAGATGCTGACAGCCTTACAGAGCTTGACTTTACGCCTTTTCGCTGCAGCTGAATATACTGGCAACATTTAATGACTAGTATTTTATACTGAAAGACTTTAGTTGAAAAAGTATCTGCAAAGGTCTGTTACTTATAAAGTACTAAAGAAGAGACAACCCCCACCCCTCCAACTCCCCCTAATAAATGAATGCACTAAATACATAGACATGTTTTTATAAGCTGTTGTTGTATTGTTTTTTATAGTGGCTATGAATATTCCTACCAATACGAATATGCTGGCTTTGTAAAATGTCTGTTCTCCTGTTCAGTTGAAGTCCACAGAGGAGCTAGACTTTTGTCAGTTCAAGGGAAAGTTAATAAATTACTGGAAAACTTAAGGCAGAGCCCGAATCTGGTTGTTTTAGTGATATTTCTCAGTGGCTTAAAATAAACATCTGAGAAGTGCTGGTGGGAGAAGTACAGAATGATGCTTCTTCTGCCTACTTTTTTTTTTTCCTCTGGTAACTGAAGGTTAAATGAGTAGCAAGCAGAATGCCTTAAACAAGATTGGTATATTGATTAAAACGCTGATTTAACAGCTCGCTTTCTCCCTTTGGAAACCTGGAAAAGATAAGCCAGCTGCTGTCTAAGAGTGCTGAGTGTCCACTGAGAGTACACTATCTATCATCACAATATGGTGATGAGAGGTGTTTTATGTTTGTGTTAATTTCCCCCACTAAATCAGTAATTATTACAATCCTGTCCCTGCTGTTTACCCTGCAGCTGTTTTTCCATTTGTCGAGAGAGCGGGTGTTCTCAGAGGACCGCACACGCTTCTATGGTGCAGAAATTGTCTCTGCCCTGGACTATCTGCATTCTGGGAAGATTGTGTACCGTGATCTCAAGGTAAAAAAAAGGAGAAAAAAAGTAATCAAATTTTTGTTTTTGCAGAGACTATTGGGACAAACACAAAGTAATTATAAAGTTGCACTATTCAGAGTTAATGGGGAAAAAAATCTGTGTTCAGTTGAAAGTTCTGTTTGTGCTGAAGGAAGTCGTTTGATACAGTAATCTCTAGACGGCTACATTACTTGACTTTAACTTGATTAAAAACCGGAAACACCGTATCTTAGTAATAGCACTGAGGAAGGTTTAAATTTCTGGTAGTTTTATTTTTATTTTTTAGTCCATTACTTATAACTTAAATTGGATTTCAACATAAATCTTAAATGTAGTTCTCAATGTCCACAAAGAAGGGAAATGGGGAACTGGGGCAATGCGACTACATTCTGTTTATCTCACCAAAGGGTTATGTTCGTGTATGATTTGAAAACATTTTAAACAATTAACAATACTTCAATTGGAAAAGAATTTCAGTCAATTAAACAATTATTTTGTCTTTTGTATCTTGGCAAAGTTTCGTAATAGTGGAATATAGTTTGTCTTAGATTTGCCTGTGTATACAGTTGTGTATCCTCTGTTGTTGCCTGAAGCTCTAAGTATTCTGTGGCACAGTATGACCAAATTCTATGGAAAGTAACCTCTGCTTTCAGCAGGAACATTTTCAGACCTATGTGGGAGGAATTTTTAAATTCCACAACAAGACTATTTTATTTTTGTGCTGAACCTTTCATTTCTTGCATGAGAAATTGTGCTTTCACATTGTACATGTATGCCTAGTGGAGTTCATTCATGGACTCCTTGTACAGAAACCAGGGAGAAGGAGGCAGTGGTAGGCAAGCTCTGCTCAGGGAGGCAGACAGAAAACAAAACAGAGGGTTTCCTGTTTGTAGCAGAATCTGTTGTAATAATATGAAATACTGTGACATCTTGGAAAAATACGGAATTGTCTAGTCAAGGAATGATAATAAGAGGACAGGGCTATAATTGTTCTTTGTTAGTAATTTCACTACACACCTTATAATTAGGGGGAAAAAGCTTTTTCTGTTGCAAAAAGTTTTTCAGAAGTATGTTTTACTTGGTTTTACTTCTATCTGTATTTAGAATACTGCTAATAAAAAGCTTTTGGGAAAACAATGTTAGCCATGCTTTTGAGATGGTCCACAGTAAACACTGCAGCATTTTTTATTCCTGTTGTTTAGATACTTCATAATTGACTGTATTCTGTTTTCACATTTCAAAGCAAGAATGGTGTATTTCAAAAGCATGCAGAGCATGCAGAGGTACGCATACACAATTCAAGGACAGTGTCCTTTGCAAGTATACAAGGAGTTTACCTCAGGGTTTTGTTTTTATCAGTAGCTTGTCTGTTATTGAAAAGATTGTGCAAGATTAAAGGATCTCTGGATATATACTGTTTTGTGACATAGTAAGTAAAATGCATCTTAATAAATGAAGGTCATGTTACAGCAAAGGAAACCTATGAATTCTTGCCAAATGACCGCCATGACTGCAACCTTGAATTACTTGACTTTGTCTTGAGAATATTAAAAAAGATATTTAGCTTTTGTTCTATGGAAGATGCCCCAAACTTGTAGAACTTCAGAATGAAGGGTCGCACTTTGATTGACCTGGGATTTACTATTGTAAGCTGTATTGAATCATTAAATAAATATTTAAATTGTATAACAGTAAACACCGTTGAGTGCTGTAAAATAAGAGATGCTGAATTTTTTTTTAAACAAATCACAAACAAATTCTATTGCAAGCAATTATACTGCATCTTTTTGACAAAACTGATACAATGCGTCAGCCTGTCCTGTTAAAAAGTACTAAGGGATCATTTTTTTCCCCAACACACAGTTAGAAAATCTAATGTTGGATAAAGATGGACACATAAAAATTACAGATTTTGGACTTTGCAAAGAAGGAATCACAGACGCAGCAACTATGAAAACATTCTGTGGTACTCCAGAATACCTGGCACCCGAGGTATGATTTAGAACATATTCTTGTAATACAGTATAAAATGTTTATTTTTTTCAATCAATTTTAGACCATGATGTTTGTATACTGAAAACTGTTCATTGTAGTAAAGAATTGACAGTCTGCCTGGTTAATATTATGCAGTTGTTACTCAGAATTGTATGTGCTACTATTCTTTGTGGTGATTGCATATCAGTGCTGCACTTCTTAGTGTTTAAAAAGGCCTCTAACATGCATTTTCCTTTTCATGTTTGCCTTCGTCTGTTAAAGATTTATCTTCCAATGATTTCTTCAAAAATAATCTTCCATCTGTCTGTCACTTGGAACATATGATCCTGCTTGACTGAGCTGTATAACTAGCATTTATATAGCCTCAGTGGAGGCGAGGGGGATAGGAAAGTACTGAGTTTTTTGGGTTTTATTCGAACTTCCCAGTTGCAGAGAGAGGGAGTTGGCATTTCAGATATTTCTGCTGAAACAGTTGAGTGTATCAACCTCAGAACTGGTTGAGGTGGGCACCAAAACTTAGCTATTTCCTAGTATTAAGCAGAAGTGGCATCCCCGAGTATGCCTCCCCGTCTTTACCATTAGCTAGGACTTGGAGTGCCAAATGTCACACTTCTCGAGGACTGATAAAAGAAATGGGTAGGATGTTGAAAACAGCTCTGGTTTGGCTATTGCAGAGTCTGTGTAGAAGCTCAAGTCACCCAAATGATAAGTGCTGACAGCTCTTCCACTGATGCTTACTGAGAAAAAACAAGAGAAGCACTCTCAAACTTGTGCTTTTGTCCTGTCTGTCTTCAGTCAACAGTACTAATTGCGGTGTTGGGAAATGATGTTCTGCCTCTCTCCTGGGGATGACAAGCACAACTCCTGTATTAACATGAAAGTCAGCATCATTTTTTTTACTTAATGCCAAGGATTCTGTGGAAGCTGGATTAGCCCTTATTTTTGTTCTTGTCAGCATTCGATTGCTAATTAACATGATACACACCTGACACTGAGATAACTTTCTTGTCAACCTGAAGGGCTTTATGAGACCCTGCAGTCCCACCATTTCTTTTAGTAGTGATTCTTTAAGGGATTCCCCACCTCTTGCAGCAACTCAGCACCACCAAAAAGTCTCTACTATATATTGTCTTTGAAGAAGAATGTGCCTTAGTTTGGAGGGAAGAGGTGAGGATGCACTGTTTCAGCATAGCCCTTTACCCTCTTTATTTTCAAAAGTATTGAATTGTGAGTAGTGGCAACAAGCCCTGGAACCTATTTCAACAAGCGAGTTTAGATTGCGCTTCATTTTTATTCTGAACCTTACAATTGAGGGATGTCATGGAAGCTGGTACACATCACCTTTTGCGTACTGCTGGCTGGAAATGAAGGTTTTAGGATGGTCAGGTTTGTGAGTTTGTGAGTCTTTCAAAGTCTCTTAAAGCAAATTAAGTCTTCTCCAATTTGCACTTGGAGGAAGTTCAAACTGCCAGTAATGGGTTATAAGTTAATACAGTATGTAGAGTTAAAACCAGTTTGAATCATAGGAAGACCTTTTGATGCATTCTTTTTCTCCAACTATAAAGGAAATATCAGAATTCCTAGGAGCCACTAACTTTCTCTTCATCCATCTGGTTCGATCTTCCATCTTTCTTTCAGCAGAGAATAGAAATCTGAGCGGTCGTGCTCTCACACTGCAGGTTTGAAGTACCTAGATAATTTTGGTTGATTGAGTATGTTCATTTCATGTTTGGTGATTGACCAGCTGCTCTAGTTATGAGACAAACTCACTTGATAGCTTCTGTCCTTTGCAGAATCCTATCCCATAGATTCCAAGGAAGATTTAGTTACAGATTATTGCTGTTCTGTTTGTCAGTTTCTGACATCTCCTTTGTGTTTAGGGACACTCAGAAGCTATCTACATTTAAGGATTTCAGAACTATTCTTAGCCTCTTTTGATTTTTTTTAATGGCTATTTAGAAGTTGCAGATGTGCCTGTTTGGCTTAGTAGAGGGTCCACTTTTCTTGTGTTCCACACCCATAATCTATCCCAGCAACAAGAACACAAGGGATGATACTGTCATCACTGCCATAGACTACAGGTGTCATTGCCAGCTCTTACCCGCTCATTGTCTCTTGTCAGCAGTCTTGAAAACATTCTCAAAGAGTGCAAATATCCCATTCAGTTGCTTTCGTCTCCATCTCCATCTCTCACTTTTGGAAACATGTAAGCTCTCTTCTGTTGGACTTGGCAAGGGGTCATTTGGGATTTTAGACACTTAGCACAGGTTACTTGATCCAGTTTGCCTGTTTTCTAGAAGTCCTTCTCCTCCCATTATGAGTATTTTCAGACACCCAGGCTCTACAGGTCTGTCTTGAAGGAAATGACTCTTCATTAACCCTGCGTACCATAGAACTCGCTCCCTTTTACCTGAGATGTGAAGGGTTTAAGGCAACCCTAGACAGGTTACTGATATGGTGTAAGATGACTCAACACCTTTATCCACACATTCTTATGTAAAAGGGTGAAGTTAGCGGTACACAGACACCATTGCAAAAAATAAACTTCCTTCGTACTCTGCTACTGCAATAGTGTTTATCAGTGCATTGACTAGATAGTTGCTTACCTAAGACAATTATATCTATTCTTATACCTGGGACAGCTGACTCATAAAGGGACCATCAAGAAACTGGGTCCTCCAGTCTATTCATGTGCATGCGTCAGAAAATGAATATACAAAAATGATTTCTTGTTGCAGTTCAGGGCGTAGAAATCATTACCAGAGGCCAAAGACTTACTACCTTTCGACAAATGCAGGTCATGAGAACCTCATGTTACAGCTGGACTTTTAATTCTGTTACCACATTGAATTCCTGCTTGTTTATCCCAAGTCAAATGGCAGCATATACTCATTCTTTGTTTGGTTATGGTAAGTGTAAAGGCAGATACCTTTTAGCCTTCCTTTAAAAACAAAGTATTCTCCATCTATGTGGAGAACTCCATTCAGCATCTGTCCTTTCAATAATACCCTTGCTCATTCTCTTTCATCGAGGTCAGTTGTTATGAGTGCATCCCTTCTGCAGGCCTTTTGGTTCACTTTCCCATGTACTTACTGGCTGGTGGTAGAGGACACTAGGACAGTGTACTGTGTAACATATAGGGGTAGCCTGAGGCTGCAGTCCTAGCCAGGAAGCAGTTGACCCAGGAGCCTTGCACTGGCAGAAATCTATACCTAGCCTTTTTTTGGTGTTAATTCAGTGTTACAGACTCAGTTCCAAACTTGAGCTTGGTTCTTCAAATGTTTTTTGGACTGTTGTTTGAGACAGAAAAGTCCTGCTTGGTATTACATCTTTTTGCAAAAATTGGATTGCAGTTGCTTCCAACAAGAAAACGGGGAAGTAGCTAACCGAGGGTAAGATGGATTTCCTCTGTGCATGACATTCTTTAAGGTGAAGGTGTCCTTGTGGATCCATACAGAATTATTTCCTACGGTGATTACAGGATTACTCTTAATCAAAAAATAAGTTTTCCTGTTGCTGCATTTTCCCCACAAAACCTTATGTTGCTGATATCAGTGTAGTCCTTCCCACCCACTGTTTAAAAGGCTCTTCCATCTCACATTGATGGGGCCTGACTTTTCATACAGGACCTAAGACTGGCTGTGCTAGTTTATGCAGAAACTATCACTTAACAAAATGTGACAGTAAGTAAGACCACAGTAGCCTTTGTCCATAGGCATGGGAAGGCTTGCATGTCTTACAAATAATTTTAAAATGAGACCAGCTGAGATGAAGGAAATACTAAGATCCATTACACAAGCTTGTTTGTCCAGTATGTTTTTTTGGTGCTCTTTCTTTCTGAAATGGCAGTGAGAGATATCACGTGTAATCAGTTATTTCTCTGTTTTACCTCAGAGGAATGAAAGGTAAAAACTCTTTTGTCAAGAGGCAACTGTTGTCTTTCCTCACTTTGCACTTAATTTCTTCCTTACAACTTTTCTTTTTGGGAAGGGTATGGCTTTGATATAGAGGTGATCCAAAATCTAGGGCTTGGCCACTGAAGTTCAGTGGCAAAATTTCAGCAAGGGTAAGCATAGTACCCTGTACTGTAGGCATGGTTATAGCAAGAAAAAGCACTTTTCTCCCGTTTACAGGATTTGAAGTTGAATTTTCTAAGCATGATGTGGCATATGCAGATTATAAAAAGTTATAGTAGAAGCAGAAAAATGTTTTGTCACTGGTGCAGCTATAAATTTATTTCATTCTTTTAACATATTGGATCAGGATATTTACAGGGGCAGCATGGTAAATTTTTGGACTGAGAATATGATGATCTGCCACATAGCTGGTCTGATACAAGTTGAAACTAAGTGATACACAGAGAGAGAGGGAACCACTGACATACGCTGAGACAGGCTAGCACGGAAATTGGAAGTTTTCAGGTTTTGCAGGCACATATATACATGTCTCATAGCAAAGCACTGTTTCAAACAGGGATTTTAATGCAGATAGAAGCTGCAATGTGAATTTTGCAGAAGAGCTGATTCAGGTGTTGGGAAAAGCATGAAAGTGCTTGTTTGCAAAGAACTTGTTGAAAACAGCCAACATCATGGATAAACTAAGGCAGGACAATTGAGAGAGATTAGCCAAGATTTGAATGTAAAAAGAGCAGCATGTTATATTACAGGGAAAAGGAAGTTTCATAAAGAATTGAGTAAAATAGGAAGATAGCAAGGGAGGTGAACAGGAAATAAAAGAAATTTGTGAATCTAAGTATCTCAAAGGTAGATTGAGATAGTGCAGAAAACACAGCTTAGAGATGTGAAGGTTTTTCTTACAGGGAAAAATGTGATTGTAGTCAGGAAACAGAGTTTGAACTAAGAAAAAAATATGTTGGTTTTTTTTTCTTAATTTTCTTTTAGTAGAAACTAATAGAATGTTTTGCAGAGAGACACAAAAGGCAGGAGGAATTGATGAGCAACTGAAGAGGAGCTTGCTAGAGAGCTGTTTGGTTATGA